GGGGGGGGGGGGGAAGCGAAGATGGCGTCTCGTGTGCGGTTTTGTTCATGGTCGCCGGATGCCCATGCCAATAGCACATCTTGACCTCGCTCTTGCCGGAGGGGGGCTACCGTCGCAACGAAATATGTACCATGCAGCAGGTTTCACCTCCACCTCCTAACACGTGGCTTGCACGGCACGACCAACCCCGTGCAGCGGTCCTGCTCCCTCTGTGGCGGCAGGCTATGTATAGGGCGGGTGGCGCGTGAAAGCTCTTGACATCTTTTTTTTCGGATTGGGCAGGTGCCCAGTACTTGGCGGGTGAATCGGCGAACATATCTTGGCACGGATAGAATTAACCAAGGTGGTCTTGACGTATCCTGGTACATCTCAGGGGTGCCCGCTACAATATGGGGTGGGTGGATTGATTCGTTGCGCACACCCGGAACCTGACTGTACTCGGTGGAAACGAGAAAGAACGCCGCAGCTACCGTCGTCGTGCCCGTCTTTTCATTCGTCGGGGACCCACCGATCATGAATCCAACCTCCGCCCAAACAAGCGTTATAAGGGCCTCGCCACGCAAACAACTGCTTGCTTGGGTAACCGTCCCTGCTTCCTTTCCTGCCGTTTTTTTGCGCGGCCCTGCCCACGTGCCTTCCATTTCCATTCTCATTCTCCTTTTCATTTTTCTCTCTCACACACTCTCCCTTCCTCTCTCTCGTGCTTTCCATCCACCTCCCAACGTGTGCCAGTTTTCTCGAGTCAAGGCGGAACACCAGACATGGCTGCGCACCATCGAAACGGCAAACCGAACCGCCCCCCCGTCCGCCGAGGGAAAAGACCAAACCACGGACGGCACGAGCGCCGCCGCACCGGCCGCCGGGGGTAGCGGGGGCGGGGGTGGGGGTTGTCCGCCGGAAATGCCTTGGCCGGAGCCTGACTTTTTCCGGATCATCGTCGTGGCGCAGGACGGGGCTCTGGTCGGGTCCGGGCTGGACAGCGACGGTAGCGTGGCGGTGCACACAGTGGAGTGCGGGACGGTGGTCGTGGCGTATGAGAGGTACATACGCGCGTTGTGTTGAGGGTGTTTAGTTCCGGGTGCGTCTTGACTGTGGGTGGAGATTGCCCACGCGAACCGGCTGACGAAATGACAAGACGTGCGTCTCAGTGCGGCCGAATGCTGAAAATGCTGCTGAAGTAGGCCATGAGCTGGAACCTCGTGAAGGGCGCTTGTGTGTTAGTCGTGTGTTTGTTAGTCGCGTTTGACTTGCGGTTGCCTGGAGGGATACCGCACGTACCACGTACCCGTACGTGACGTACGTCATAAAACACCTCCTCGACCGCTTGTCAAAGCTCCATTACTGCACGTCGCCAAAGGTTGAGGTTGACACATCAAAGGACACGTTTTCGGAAAGCCCTCGACCGCGCCGCCAATTTTCGGCACCTCCACTCTCCCTGGTGTTGAGTATTACAGCTTTTGCAGCCGGTTCAAGAAACAGGTGTGATAGCTTGTGTCACCCACGGCACGGTACCGCTTGCACGCCCAACACACTTTCCTCCTCCACCTGTCCTTCATTTCCTCCCCTTTTTTTTTTTTTTTACGATCATGTGTCCCGCTCGACAACAACGGCGGCAGCAACAACAAAAACAACAATAACAACAACAACAACAACAACAACAAAAGCAAAAACAAAAGCAAAAACAACAACAACAACAACAACAACAACAACAACAACAACAACAACTGCAACTGCAACTGCCACGAACAACGACGAAGACAACGATGACGATAACGACGACGACATTACAGGGCGGCGAACTCTGCCGGCGTCATGCGTTACCGCACCCGCCACGGCTGGATCTCGGAGCACGCGCGCGGCACCGGCCGGCAGCCGATAGTGGAGATACTCTCCGTCGGTCTGACGGTGAGAAAGCAGTTAACGATGCTATGCACAAGCAGTTGTACATTTAGATACCACCGATAGGGGAGATGCTGTCCGTTGGCCGGACGGTGAGAAATTGTTAAAAGTTGCTAGATACACTACGCAGCAGTTGGTGTATTTAGATATGCATACCGCCGATACGGGAGATACTGCTGTCCGTTGGCCTGGCAGTGACAAGTGAAAGTTGCTAGTGCGCAGCCGTTGTACCGTGATACCCTGGGGAAACTCATTTTGGACTTGTATACTGCGGCCTTTGCTCCCGTGTTGTAAGAGGCCGCCACTCAAGATGCCCCACACCACGTTTGAGGCCAGCCCTCTCTCTCGGCCGTGTCAAGCTACACATTCGTCCACCCCGCAGGGACCAATATTTTCGGCCGTGTCGCAATAGTTCTAGGCACAGCCCAGCCCAGCCCACTAAGCTGCTGAGCCTGTCCCGCAACATCGTGCTCCATTAAGAGAGCTAAGCATGCACCAGCGGGTCTGCATTGTGCACCTTTGAGGAGAGAGACCTACGAAGAGGCGCCCGCAGTTGATGCAACGGCATGCATGGTGGCTTCTGCTGGAGACTGCTGTGCTCTTTTGTGTCTCCTCTTGTGTAAATGTGTATGTCGGTGACCCTGTTTGCTACAGCACGGGCCCGCAGTTGCGTTGTATAGAAAGAGAGGTTCAGATTTTCACGATCAAATAGAAAATAGGTCCAGGAAAACATGGCCAAGCTGCGGATCCTTGCATCAAACTCTCATGTATCAACTCTGCTCGACGAAATAAGAAGCTGAGCCTCATCCTGACTTTGGCGTTTCTTTTCTGCGGTTCCGGACTGACTGTGTCTTCCGGAACAAAATCCGCGGTGTTTCCCCGTGAAATGCAGGGACAGGGGGGAGAGCCCTCGGAGGAGGAGATAGAATCTGAGACGGAGCACCGCAGGCGCGTCCAGCAGCAGCAGCAGCAGCAGCAGCACATCCAGCAGGGGGGCCGGCGGCGCCCCTTGCACGGCCTGAGGGCGACGGGGTGCAACTCGCTGGCTAGGCTGCACACGGTCACCAAGCAGGTTCGTCGNGGGGGCGTGGTTGTGGCGGAGGCAGAGGTGCTGGCGATGGTTGTTGCTGGATGTTTAGCTTGGAACCTGTTCTTGTTTGTTGTTTGTTGGCGTGGCAAGCGATTTGTTGTTAACGGCGTCTTGTTAATTGTCTTGGCTGCTGTTGGTGCCGTCGTTTGTGAGGCTGTCGTCAACAACCCGTCGGCCATCGATGGATGAACCCATCCAGCACCACCGACGCAAAAACATACCGGTATGAAGGGTCGTACACAATAGTGATTTCCCCCCCGACTTCCTATCCGATGAAGCCACCCTCACTCACGCAAAAGACGCTGGTGTGAACGGCCGTACAAATTATTTTAATGTAATTACAAGGCATCCCTCCGGAGTGGGGTAAAGAGAGCACCGCGGTAAGGGGTGATGCACGAAGCTGCAAAAAGATAAACAGCAGAGAAGCAACAGTAGCAAATAGGGTTCTCGCGTCAGGTCGGCGCGAGATTTTTTTTCAACGATTTTCTGGTTTTTTTTTGGTTGAAAGCCGGCAGCCGCGCCGATCTATGTGAATATATGTGCGTGCATGCAGACCTCTCGACCTCGGGCTCGGCGGTCTGCACGGAGATGTGTGCACTGCTCTATATCTCTGCTGACACCATGACATTCATTGCTCGACTGCTGCTGGAAACTACATACATGGGGCTGCTCTCGCTGCTGCTGTACGTATAGTTCACTCAGCAGTCGGGCATGACCAGCAGACGAACGAACGACGAATGATTGTGCGACATTTTTTCTGGATTTTTCTTGGCATGTCATATGTGTGTGCATCCCTCCTCCGGAGTGGAGTAAAGAGAGCACCGCGGCAAGGGGAGATGCAAGAACATGCAAAAGGCAAGCATAGAAAAACAGATACATACTATATCCTGCTCTACCACACCAGTGTACCAAGAAAAAATAGGTTCGCGCCATTTTTAGGATGTCGGCGCGAGCTTTCTCACCGGTATATACTGCTGTCAAAGAGATCCTCCTGCAGGTATTTGGCTGTATATTTTCTGGGTTTTGTTTGTTTGAAAGCCCACAGCCGCGCGGACGTGTGTATGTGCATGTCGACCTCCCGACCTCGGGCTCGAGCGGAGATGTGCATCTCTGCTGACACAGCCACGAGCTTTCCTATCAATACTATAAAGAGATCCTTCTGGAGGATTTTGGCTGCAAAAAGTAGTTTCTGGATTTTGGGGGTTGAAAGCCCGCAGCCGATCGGATGGATGTGAATATATGTGCATGTGCCGGCGTGCCGGCCTCCTGACCTCGGGCTCGACGGTCTGCACGGAGATGTGTGCACTGCTCAGCATTTCTGCTGACACTGTGCCACGACATATACATTGCTCGGCTGCTGCTTAGATACGTTGGGCTGACTCTGGGTGTAGTTCATTCAGCAGTCGGACTCAATCATGGCCTCATGGCCATCATCATCATCAGAAGGACGGATTAATTGAGCGGCGTCATCAAGCCGTGTTTTTCTGATTTTCTCCACGCCCACACACACACACCCACCCTCGAAACGGCAAGCAAGAACAAACTATGTTTACATGCGCGTCTCCAGCGTGCAAACAGTATCAGGTAGTGACCGTAGCATCGTGATGTCTCAAGAAGCCGGTGGGGAGGAGGCGAGACGAGACAGACAGCAGTCCAGAACATCTCCCCCGTATGACAGATACGACAGAAGACAGCCAGACCTGAATTAAAAATAAATAAATAAACGAGCTGAAATTGCTTCGGTTTGTACCGCCTTTCTGCACGTACGCTGGGAACGCTACTGCCGTGCATTCTCTTTCCCCACACGTACACGCTCGCTCCACAGCCGCTCTCAGATCTGACAGCTGCCGCGCCAACGCTCAGCTGATGTTGCCATGTGTCGACACAGGGTTCAACATCAGATCAGAAACAGCGTGTCACCGCGTACGTTTTTGGTTGAAGCTGCCGTCTTCTGCCGGGCTGTTCGACACGACAGGCCCAACTCTACCCGACAGCTGACGCGACAGATGGACAGAGTCAATGCGTGGTCTTCTTACAGCCACAGGAAAAATCTGGAGACTGTGGGGAAGCTTTTACAAATCTGTATATAGCTTTACTTACCCATCCCCCCCCCCCCGTTCCCGCGAATCCTCTGGCAGCTCGTGACCGCGTTTGCTCGGGTGCTAGCTGGCTCTCTGCCACGACCCCACCACAGGGAGGACTTGACCCCGAACATGAACCCGGTGGCACCGGCGGTGTGCGAATTCTTGTCGGAGAGCCTGCGGGAAGGCTTCGCCCTTGGGCTGGACAGGACGGAGGGCTCTCGCGGTAAGCGCTCAGAAAAGACGTGCAACGAGAGATGAGAGGGAGAGGTGTGCACGNACCCCGAACATGAACCCGGTGGCACCGGCGGTGTGCGAATTCTTGTCGGAGAGCCTGCGGGAAGGCTTCGCCCTTGGGCTGGACAGGACGGAGGGCTCTCGCGGTAAGCGCTCAGAAAAGACGTGCAACGAGAGATGAGAGGGAGAGGTGTGCACGTAGCCGTGCATGCCGTAGTCGTTAGACCGTTGACCTCGCATCCCTACAAAGCTGGGACAGAGCGATATGCCCGTTTTTCGCCGGCCCAGGCTACGTTTCACAAGGGTGAACCAGATGTGTCGGGGGTTCATTGAAAGGAGGGGGAAAAAGAGACCGAGGCGCAGGGGGGGGGGAGGGTAGGCAGAGGCAGAGGAAGAGTAGACCTGTGGTGCAAAAGACGGATAGAGAGACTCTTCCCAGGATGGTGTCGGTTCTTTCTTGATCGCCACCGAGCTCAATTTTTTTGTTGGCCTAGAGCCAAAGGTATCGGTAGTCAATTTGTTGTACCAGGTATCACCTATCACCGCGCTCCTTCTCCCACCCCCACCCCACCCACCCCCCATAGGAGCCTCGCTAAGCCCGGAGGCTCGTTGCACGCACCTTGCCGGCGTGCTTGAGACGGCGTCTTCGGCGTTGTTCGACGAGCGTAGGCACGTGGTCAACACGCTGGTGAGTGTGCTGCTTGTGGCGATGGCTTGCCAGAAGGGGGGGGGGTGTACTGATGTAAACGCATGCCGAAGTCGTTAGACCATAGACCTCGCATCCCTACAAAAAGCCGGGACAGAGCGATGTGTCCGACTATCGCCGGCCCAGGCTACGTTTTACAAGGATGAACCAGAAACTGGTCATCGTACTTTGCTGCGCCAAACCAGATACGCCGCGGATTGATCGAGGGGCGGGGGTGGACAAGGTTTGTCGAGGGCACATGGATCGGTGTAACTGCTTCCTAAAACAAACACCGCCGGCGAAGTTCTATTTTCCCTGCCTTTTTGGACCCCCGAAAGCTGTGTACGGCCCCTGACAAGCGCCACCATCGTTCATGGGGAACAGCACCTCGAGGGTACATAACGCGTGTGCCAACGCGAGTCCTGCTGTCACAAGACGTGGTGTCATGTTGACACGGAGCATTGCTATTTGTTGCCACCGTCTTGAGATCTTGTTCTGCCTGCTGACCTATCCTCGACCGCGCCCCCCCCCCC